AATGTTTTTATGAAGTTGTGAGAAATAAATGTAAGTGGCACGGCAGCAGAAAAATTACTCGCTCCACGAGAACTAGCTAAGAGGAAGAATGTCACACAATCTGTTCAACCTTTGTAAGTCAGAGAACTCACATAAGAAGAAATGCTATAAATTACTCTAACGATGGAAAAGCCTCTGTAGATGTTCATTTTGTAATAGCTCCCGAAGAATATAAGCAACAGAGCCCTTGACTAAGGAATGGATTTTTTTGTCCCTTGTAAGAGTATGGAGAAATTGGACAGTGGACAAATGGACAGAAGACCTTCAGAACGTGTCTCATGTTCTTTCTTCTTCTTCCTCTCCCCAATATAGAGATTCTCTGATGAATAATTATGGATAATATATATGCAACCTTATTGAAGTTCAAGTAAAACACGAGCTTTTCCATGAGAAACATGTCTTTTGGAATGTCTTTGTTAGTTTTATTAAAGTGTCTATTTTCAGAATTTTTATTAGGAAGTTCAGGAACACAGAATAGTAGTATTGCTGTCATCACATGCCGGGTAAAACACAATCACTTATTCTACCTCTTGCAACAACTCTGCCTCATTAAAAACAGTGAGGACGGTATCAGCTCTAGAAACTGCATTTGCCTCAGAACATTTGCAAAAGTTCTTAACCATTCCATCCTCTACAATAAGGGAACAATTATGTATGCTCATATCTAGCCAGTACTGGACCTACAGAGACAACTAGTACTTTAGCCTAAGGCTATGTGGGTACCATTGACATCAAATAAACTCTCAGCAAATGGTGGAGAATGTCCAAATTTGGTCTATGACAGCCGCCTTCATCACTACCTTCCAACTTGCTATGACGGTGCTACATTGCATTGCTTCTAGGTCTTGCGTATCTGGGGATATTCGGCTGTTAATAATGACAATGTCACAAGTGTCAAACTGGAAAACATCAGTCAGGGAGATGCACAATGATCCAAGTGCACAGGTAGTTCAGAATGATCCTGCTTCTGTTAATGCAACACAGTCCAAGTTTCTGCTTTTAATAGCATGAGACTATAAGTCATCTTCTCTCAGACTTTTGCCCAAATGTACGTGACAAATCTTTCTAATCAGGACTGAAGACTTTCCTCTAAGTTTTGAGAATGTGCTTAAGTCGCAAAAAATTTGAAGTGCATTTGATATTTCCAATATTCATTTATTTTAAATGGAACGTGCCTTTTAACATCCACAGATAGTCTTAATTTTTGCAAATAGTTGAGCGAACATTTTCTGTGAAAACTAGGGAAGGACTGAAAAGAAAAAAGTTGCCTCCTAAAACCATAGAACAGAGTAACAAGGATTATTTTGTTTCCCTGGAAGAGATACTCATGGTCTTGCACAGCTATCTCAGCTAGTATCAACACAGTGAAATGCAGCATTTTATTTAACACACGCAGCCAATTACTCTTTGCCTTGCTAAGTAGAGTGGGAAAGAGGGCTGGGCTGACCCCCTTTCTTCATCGACACGAGTTTGAAATTTAACAAATCAAGAAGAGCTCAGGAATTCTGGGTTTTCTGATGGCAACACAGGAAGTAAGACAAAATAGACTACAAGTTCTAGCAACAGATATGTGTTTGAATATTTTTAGTTTTAAAAACAGACTTCATATCACAAGGTCAAGCTAATTAAACAAAGATGACCCATGGACCAGGTGTCAAAGGGAAATTCTAATTGTGACTTACATTTAATTGACAACATTGGATAATAAAGAATGTTACATACAAGCTGCTTTACAGTTTTATGGCTTGAACAAGAATTCTCTCTTGAAAGTGAAGAGCTCTCAAGGGCCCAGCTGCTCCTAATTTCAGCTGTTCAATTATTTCCAAGAGATTCTACAAAATCAGAGCCAGGTTTTCTCATGACTAATTTAACAAATAGCTCCTCCCTCAACTAATTAGCACAGGCATGCATTCTCAAAGCAAACAAAGAAAAATCTTATTTTATTTGAAGTTGACAGAATAACTTCTCCAAGTTTGCAAAAGTGACCATCTTTGTCACTCACCTCTGTGTTTATTTAACTTGCTACTGTTTGCATGCATTAGTAATCGCAACATTAGAAGTATGCTTTTTTATTTCAGAATTATATTTTCCCATGTTAATCTACAGGATATTAGAAATTCCATAAAGACATACTTTTCTGGTCATATAGATGTAAATATCTTGGTAGAATATAATCCTTCAAATATGTTACTACGTATACACATCATCTTGGCTGCAGAACAATGCAAATAGGTAGTTGTAACAGAAGACAAGAGTGAAGTTTCTGAAAATCAGAAGAGTTCCATTAGGGAACGACAAAGTTCATTACCTTTTCCCTATTCTCCTCCCTTCAGCCTGTTTTTTGTCCCCAAGCCCCAAGTTATTCACATTATTCACTTGAATTCTTGAAAGAAACTGTTATAATTTAAAAAACATAACCGTGATAAGTAATCAAGTTTAAAAGTGCGACTTGCCTGAGTCACAGCTCAGTATAATTGGATCCATCTGCACGTGCACATTGTAACCATAACGACTATTAGTTCTGATATGTCGTCAAATACAGCACAAGAGTTGAACAGCGCATCGTGAAAAGGTTTAAAATGTATATTCATGTTCTTAGGTTTTTTTTTTTTAAAAAACAGCATTATAGCAATAAAAGCCTGATTTACTCCTGAATGGGAAACTCTATATGAAGTTTTAACATCTCACAAGCAATCCCTATACTGTAACCAAAATATTACAAGGCTGTTTTATTAAAACTCAGATAAGGTAAAATGGACTTCATTACACTGTTAGTCTCAAGTGATTTCAATGAGAGGGTAAGCATTAGAATACATACCTTACCATTTACAGTGGAATGCTTACCACAGGCAAATCAGACATGCTTTCCCAGTTTTTTTTAAAGCATGTCTTGTCAAATGTACTAATGAAAGGTGCAGGGCCATCTCAAGGCTCTCAAGGAGACTCAAGAAGTGACATATTTGCTGACTGTCGAGTTTGTAGTGTTTTCCATTCTAATACAATTGGGCTGTCATATCATGGAGCAGAACATGCAAAGATTAATTGTGAAAATTAACAAAAGTAGAAGTCAGATGTTGTCACCATAGCACTCCTTGTGTGTTTTAGTAAAACAACTGGAAGATCAACCACAGAAACAGCACTTGCTACACTATGACTCAAGAGGTGCAAGTTCTATTAACAGGCTGCTCTAACAGCATTCATGGTATCTCTTATTATTTCAAGTGTCACGTTTCCATTTTCATTAACCAGAACTTCTTGACCTTTCCCTCACAAGCATTTTGCTCCTACCCTTATGCCTTGTGCAGAAGTGTTCTTCACAAGACAAGGAAATGTATCAGTTACAAGCATAACTACATATAGTATAGAGGATCTGCTCGCTCAAGAAAAGTGAACATGTCTTGCAAATCATGTTTAGTAACTGCTCTTGAGAAGACATAGGCTAAAACCTCACTGTATACTGCCATATTCTTTTTATGGTAGCAGTCCCAGCTTCTTGTGTTCTCTAAAAGTATGCAAATCAAAAGCAGCAAATTATGCCCAAAAGCCAATTCACATAGCAGGAAGCAGGTACATCTCCTAAGTCAGTGACACAGGAGAATACTAAATACACCAAGGCCCTTTCTTTTTACACAGACTGGTTGGGAAATAGAGAAGAAAGATCTATTCCCAAGTGAGAAGAAAGCTTGATCCCATATGCCACAAGCAAAAAACCCAACTCTACACATGCAGCCCCTCATAATTAGAACTGTCCTTCTCTCACAAGGTTTGAAAACAAAGTAAAACAAAATCTTGTCATGAAGGACACAGCAAAACTATAAATCCTGATTCAGAAGTTCTCTTTTGGTTATCTTTTCTCAACCTCTGTCACTCAGGCAGCCTAACACTCTCTCATCTTTGTGCCTTTAACTGATCCACTGTATCACATTGAATTTTTCTGGTGTCAGCTGGAACAGTTTTCCCATTTTATAGACCTAAATATCAGAGCAAACAAGGACATTTGCAAAGTTAATTACTTTTCTGTCAGCAATGAAATATCAGTGATGATAACAGATTCCCAAAAGAAAAGCTAGCCAAAAGTGCAGAATTCTTTCTCTAGAGTCATGGTTATTATAACCTACAAGTCAAATGAGAATTACTAAAGAGATAATTTGCCAACAGCTCAGTCAACTTTTGGTTCCATAAGATCTTCAAGAACCATAGTTCAGGTGTAGCTCCAGGTTAGAGGCAGCTGGAACAGTGTGACCCTCTGCTATCCTCTGTGCTTCCTCAATACAAACACTGAACCCTAACCAAAACCAAATTTGAACAGTTTGATTTCCCAATTGCTTTGTTAGAACAATGCAAAGCGTCATTTCATGGCAATTCAGTCCCTTCTGAATCTTTATTCAGAAAATTTCCTCCCTGGCAGTAGTATCTGTAAAGTTATATATTTTAAAAATTAAGAGGCAAGACCTAGCCCTTAAAAAAAAAAATTTTTTTAAGGACTACACAGATGTCAGAAGACAAAAAATCCAAATCCCACAGAAATAATTGTATAGAAAGGATATTTTAAACAGGCATGAGTACTTAACAGCCCATGTACTAACTGATCTTGTTGCATAAGGAAAATGATTTTGAAGCCTGAACTATTCAACAAGCTGGAAAAAAGGGGGAAAAAAAAGAAAAATAGAAAAAAGAAACAGAGCTCCTGAAATCTATACATCAGGGTTTTTTTTTTTCTTCCCCTTTTTTCCCCACCTATCACATAGGCTGTGTTTCACACCAGTTTTTGGGTTTTGGCTTTTTCCACCAAGAACTAAACTGAGTACTAAAGAGAAAAAAAAAAAATCATAAACCAACCTCCATTAGCATACAAAGTTATAATAAAGAGCTGGGCCTATAACTGGATATTTAAAGGTCTAGAAGAATGCATAACAATTTCTGTGCAGAAAGCATATCTAAATTAAGGTTTTACAAGGTACCTGACATGGAATTTGTTGCTCTTCCCATCTTGTGGAGGAAACTCTTCTATGACATCCTGTACAAAAGACGGCTGCTGCTGGTATGTCCTGCTGTATGGCAGTGTTCCCACGTGGCTAAACACATCACAAGACCTAACGGGAATTGTCCCCTTCTTCTTCCTGGGGAGAGTGCCATGGATAGAGATGTCTTGAAAGGAATCTGTGCGATGCTCAGCCAGCGAGGGTTTGCTGGTCAAAAGGTCCATGGAAGAAGCTAATGAGAACTGATGGTTCACTGGGACATTTCTGTGAAGACTTGCAAATTTCCCTGCAGCTATCATTCTTGGTTCTGGAAGTGGGGGGGGGAAAAAAAAATACCATAGCGCATCAATCAAAGTCCCAATTTTAACAGAAATTAAATAGCATGACTAATGCAAGCACCTAGAAACGAACTGCCACTTTGCTTTTTTTAAGGCATATTGATACTTCAAGATGCAGCCTATATTACAATCCAGTCATGTGGCTCCCAACCACACATTTCAAACACGTGAATATTAAATATTATAGATGTGAAGTCACAACAAAAAAGCAACTCATCTGAGCACATATGCAAATACAGGCCTTGAGCCACTGTCCATTTTTTTCTACAAAATTCCTTTTTCGCCCCTTCTCAGCTGCAGTTTGAGGTGTTAAACACCAACCCAATCATTAACAAAAAGCAGTTTTAAAAACATTTTGATAAAAATAAGAAAGAGACTCTACAGCTCAATTTGTAAGAATACATTTCTAAATCCAGTAGCAGGCACCACTATGACGGAAAAACTGTTTGTGAAGAGTCTTGCTCAAGTAATAAATCCAGTAGAGAACTGGTTACATATTTTTGACAGGCTATAAACGAAAGGGCTCTAACCAAGAGATAAGGGCAGGAGCAGATGACTGGAATTCTCTTCTGCAGCATGCACAACCCGCTGGGGCAAATCATTGCTGACATCAGATTTGCATAGCTGTCTGTCTCTTACACTATCACTTACAGCCTGCCGTACAGTACTAGGTTTTCTATTAGCATGAGCAAAACTTTGCGAAGCAAACGCTCCAGACATTCACAGATCCCAGTTCTGTTCCTCAAAAAAAGCTGCCTTGTGCTCACTCCATAATGTTATATAACATAAAGCAGGCCTGTCTTATCCTACCAGTTACGTTAGTTTGCTACAGCTGCTTTAGGGGCCAACAGACCTAGGGTCAACCAATGCTACGTTATCAGACCCAGGTGGTAATCGACCAGGCATCTCCTACAAAAACTGGAAAAGACACAGGAGCAGTAGAGACTCGCATGAAATCAGAAAGCAGAAAAGACCTTAGAAAGAGCAGTTCTGGATAGAGAATCTGCTCCGACTTTGGTCAAGTTTCTTGCTGAAGATAACAGTAGCACCCTGAAAGCCCAACTGCTTATTGCTGCACAAGAATTTGTCTGGTCTGGGGGAATGCAGAGGTGCTGCGACAACAGCAGAGCTCGCTCTACTGTCCTCCCCACCCCTTCTCCGCCCTCAGCATCACAGGTACAATCAAAGTGTTGCTGCACTAAAGGTACTGTTAGTTCAACTCAAAAGTTATCCTAACAGGCTTCATTTTACAGGAACACTAAAGCTGATCGCAAATGCACAGAAGAATTCTATTTTCTGTCTGCTGCCTGCAGAGAAATTCACAGGCTGGATAAGGTTTCCAGACTTCCACAACAAACCCCTTCCCACTTCTCCTTTATTCAAGGTCTTACAACAAATACTCACTAAGTACAGATGATAATTAATACTTATAATTATTTTAATCTTAAATGTGCCAAGGCTCTGAGCACAGCTGCTATATACTGTAGCAGAAAAGCTTCTGGAAACTTCTGGATAGAGAGAGAATCTGTTCTGACTTTTACTTTTCAAAATGAAACTCTACTAGAGTAGTAAAGGGTCAAGAAGTATGAGCAGTAAATAAGAATTGACATTGTTAGTTACATGGACCCACATACAATTCAAAATCCTAAAGAAATCATATCAAACTCTCACAACAAATCTTCCCAAAATTATCATATGGGCCCTCAATGTGAAGTACTTAATCACCTCTCCAGTTATCAATTGGTTTGAGGACAAAGCTTCTACTAGCTTTTATGGAAAAAAAAAAAAAAAATCACAGAATTGTTTTCAAAAAAGTTGAAATTGTGCCGTACAATCAGCTTTGCATTACAATTGCTTTAGCAACACAACTAATGAATAGAGGGGATGTTCTAAACTGAAAATGCTTACCACAAAGCTGCAGCCAACCTCCTAGCTAGAACAAACTGGTACAGCTCATTTCCAGTAAATTCAACTTTATTACTAGAGAGGAATAATAAAAATGCCCTCAAAACAGTAAATAAATAAATAAATAAATAAAAAGCTTCCTATCATTTATGTAAACTCAGCCTTTGTGTTTAATGTAGTAAGGTAGCAAATACCATTCATTAGAATCTGAAAAAAAGTGAAGGCTAGCTTGCTCATATTGCACAAATACGTTTTTATTTTCCTTTGTCAGGCTCCTTAAATTCTCTGCTTAATAATTGTACCCTCATATTGATTTAGAAAAAAGCATCTCCAAAACTCTGCATTCCAAATATTTAAGTGGAGGTCATCCAGTCTTCATAATACAAAATGGAAGAAGGTTTTTCCCTAAGCATTCTTGCAAGACCACATGGCATTTCAACTATTAAATGCAAAAGGCATATCAAAACCAAGCAGTTATCAAAACAACCAAGGGAAGTTTCAGTTTAATAGCTGATACCACATGATTCCACAATATACATACGACAGTAGACTGTCAACAACTTCATGTTTGAGGTTTCATAAAGAAAGCTGAGGATTCCCTCTCCTAGTCTCATTACAGGATCAAGGAGTTTTCTAATCCAAAACGCTGAGAATTTTCATCAAACGAACAACAACCCTTCAAAGTACAGCATTTTCCTTTTAACCACCTCTCCTAAGAAGCCTTTCTTAAAAAAATAAAAAACCCCAAACCCTCAGTTATGTCTTAATCATTTCACCTTTTAAGACATTCTCTCTCAATAACATTCCATAATCCATAAATTCAACATCCAACTTTCAAATTCAAACTTGAGTTTTGATTTGAGAACTTTAAGTCCCATGCTTAATTAGAAATATTCACAAATCAATAATTTGCAAGGGACTTAACCACAATTATGTGCGTACAGAAGCACTGACAGTATTTCAAGCAATTCTCCCCTCAGAACCCTTCCAAATAAGCCAGGGCTGCTAACTTCTACCTGTAAATTTATCTGCTTACTTATCTGCAACTCTACCAAGAATTCCTGGCAAATGTAAAACCAAGAACTAAAACAATCACGTCAGTATCAAAAATCTTGCTGAAATTTCTACACTTCTTTCTTGTGGTGAATGAAAACACTGTATGCAGTGAGCCTCTTCAGCTGAAGACTCTGGAATGTCTCAAATATTTCAGCATATGATTCAAGGAATGTTTGACTACTACCGATACAAATCCTGAAAATTTTACTCCCAAGAGACAGTACTCTCTGAATCTCTGTTACTGTGCAATCAACAATAGGAAGTGTAGAAATTATACCAAAAGGGCAGCAACAAAAAGACATGAAATTCAGTTTTACACATTTCCATGTGCCAACATGTAGCATCTTACAGAACAGAGGGCTTTGGAAGCCATACAAGTTTCCTCTAAATACATGCAAACAGGACTAATTCATGCCAATATACTGTTAAAAATACTATGTGGCTTTGTATTTTCACATATAATGTAATTTTTCCTTCTTCAGCCTATAATTGGAGAAAGTATAAGGGAAGGGAAGGGAATTAGCAGGAGTCAGATTCTGAATTCAGAGAACTGGAAGGCACGAAGGGTTTCCAGATAGCTTTTGACATGTCCTGTGTGTTATGAATGGGGGTGGGCAAATATAAACCAAGAGGTCTTTAAAACCAACATGAGCTTTAGGAAATATGTGAGATCAGACATAGACATGTATTTGCTAGGCAATATCAGGACCAAATATGTACCAGACTGTAATATGGGGGGAGTCTCTTCACATCATTGCTTAAAGCTAAAAAGAACCACATGAACAATGAAACGGATGACCTTTTCATGCCTCAGAACAACAGGCAAAAATTCTTCTATTTATGCCCTCTTGGTTTGGGGATGCAAATACAAGCTTTCTGGCTCAGCTGGTCATCATGAGAACTTTCTGAAGCAGTTCGCACAGACTGTGAAAATGTTCTGAAGCTTTATTCAATCTGATACAACTATAAGAGTAAGTGGCCCTTCCATACCACAACGTAACACAACTAGTGGTGATGGCTGCTACTCTCCTGTTTCAATATATTGTAGGAGAGGAAGTGATGGAAAGGGATATCTCCAGTTTGGCCTCAGAGATTCATGAATGGCTAATACACTGGCCAAGGCTGTACGTGGTCATGCCAATGGAAGCCTTATAAAAGAAATCAAAAAAGCAATTTCAGAGTTCTGAATCAGACTTTCAAGCTATCACAAAGCTCTCAGAATTATTTCTAAACAAGTTTTGGACATTAAATGATTCACACATTTCTCAAAGTCTTACTGATCTAACAGAAAATCCCCCTGACTTCAGCTCAAGGCTCTCTGAAGTCTATATCTGATGTTATCACACCATCACTAATAGTATGAAACTTTACTTCCAGTCTCACCAGTTCTTCACCTATTGAACACATTATAATACATTCCACTGATGAAAGATTGCCTTATATTTTCAGGTCTTTATCAGATTGAATCAACTTCTCTAAAAACTAGAACTATTTTTGACACAGCAAATCTCCTGATCACCTCCCCCCTCTCCCAAAATATTAAGAGTAAATCATGAGGAGTGGGGGATATAGTACTGTTTTCTCCCTGTTGATTTAGCTGGTATGTTTGCCTGCACTATGTATATGCACATTGGAAATAATGGAAATGATCAACCTTACTGGGCAAGAAGTTTGGCAAAGTCACTCTCAGGATACAAATCAGATTGATTTCCTGGGCTTTATTTTTCTGTGTGATAAGATAAATTATTTAAGGGAACAGGAAAAAAAAAAAAAAGAATGAAAAGCCACAAGAGTTAACGTATTATGGAAAGAAATACGGTTAGAACTAAAGCCACTATAAATTCATCCAGTCAGATTTCATGTTAATTGCTTCCCTACAAGCATGGTAGAATCTTTTTCAGTAGTAAAAGTGGATTTCTGTTCCCAAAATAGAGTAGATGAAACATTCTACAAAATTTATTTTCTGCCAGGTCGTTACAAAATAAACTGATGTAGTAGCTGCTACAGC